TCTCTCTCTCTCTCTCTCTCTCTCTCTCTCTCTCTCTCTCTCTCTCTCTCTCTCTCTGTGTGTGTGTGTGTGTGTGTGTGAGCTTCTGGTGTTTTGTCTTTGAGAATTGTACCTGATAATGAATGTCTTTCGGCAAGTTTGTGGACGTTTTTCTGGTCCCGTACAGGCGTAATGAAGGTGCGTTGTGTTTGGTGGGAAGACGGTTCCGCCAGCGTGTTGACAAGGGTGATGCCGTCTTTGCTGACTCTGTTCCGTATCTGCAGGATTGCTTCCACCAGCCGTTGGCATGGTCGTCCGGCACAAACGTTTCGCTATGCAGGTGGAGTGCGCGGCGGCATCGGATGGCGATCGGGCACAAACATTTCCGACAGCAATTGCGGAATCCGACAGCAATATTGTGGAAGATGCGAGGAGCGGCGCTTGCACAGTTGGTTTGGTGGGAACTTTGGCAGGACTGGTGGTCAGTCGGTCGCTCGCTCGCTCACATGCTCTTGTCCGCAGCATCGTGTTGACGTGTCAGTCGAAGATTGGACCTTTGTGGGGACCACTCGCTCATGTTCCTGCTGCTGGTTGTAGGATTTGTGGGGACCACTCGCTCATGTTCGACTTTGGCCTTGTTGACCTTCTCAATGAGCGCATTCACAATGTGAAATTTTCATCATGGTGAAATTTTCACCATGGTGAACGTTTCACCATGGTGAACGTTTCGCCATGGTGGATTTTTTCGCCGTGTGAATCGCATGGCGGTATTCTGTGAGGACGACAAGACGAAAGAGATCGGTTGTGTCAAGAGAGAGAGAGAGAGAGAGAGAGGTGGTGGGAAAGTGCAGATGCCAGGAGTGATTGTGAAATGTGGGATGCCAGTGATCCTGTCTGCGACTTCTCGATGAGACTTAGCAGGTTTCATTATTTGGCCGCTTCTACGATATAAGGCTCGAAGAGTGGTTGTTTTCGGGAAGGCATACCCTGATGCAGCAGGCTAGCAGCCCTTTGGCCGAAGCTTTCTTTTTGTGCTTGCAATGATCAATCATTTGAAGAAGACCTTGCCAACGCTCTTTGTGTCGGCAGTCTGAGCGAAACAAGGGGCATAGGTCCTCCTGCGATAAGTGACGCCAAACTTTTCGTTTTCCCCCATCTGCAACAAGGATCGAAGTTTCCAAGAGATTTTTATTCCAAGCGCAAATGACTTTTTTCTGAGTATGAAGAGTCTCTTGGATCTTGCATCAGGACGAACACGCGCTTCGCTCTGCGCAGCACCCAGCAGAAGGTTGTGTGAAGAAACACTGGTCTCTTCTTCCACCTCCTCCCCCCCCCCGACAACACCCTCTGCCCGTTCTCTTCCGCACCTCCGCCCAGGGCACTTGCAAGTGTGCCCCTCTCTCTCTCTCTCTCTCTCTCTCTCACACACACACACACACACACACACACACACACACACAC